CCCTGGAGGTATTTAAAAGACGGGTAGACGTGGTGCTTGAGGACATGGTTTAGTGGTGGACTTGGCAGTGCTATGTTAACGATTGGACTTGATGATCTTAAGGGTCTTTTCCAACCTTAATGATTCTATGATTCTATGAAACACGGAATATGTCTTGGTATTTTGTGGCAATTCCTTCCTGCTTGTGAAAATTCAACTTGTCTAAATCCTAAATATTTTCTATATTTAATTTTCAAGGATTAGAATGTGGCTTGAGGGGGCTGCAGACACAGAAAAAATGATGATATGAATTCTTCCTCTTCTGTGTTCTTTCTGTTCAGTGTTGCAGTGTTTCTTCTTGCTCGGAACACCAGGTTACCCTTTTGCAGCTGCCCACTTTATAAATCCTTACAAAGGCAGGTGGGAATGAAAAACTCTCTTCTGAATTTAGTAAGGTTTCTGGTTTGCATCAGTGTATGAAAAGAGTATGCCATGACATCTTAAAGACAGATGCCTCAGCTATTCTCTGTATGTACTACTGGAAATGGCAGGAGTGACCCTATATTCTTAAAAAAAGTCTATCTACATTAAGTGTCTTGTCAATTGTCTGGTACGGTCATTGGTATATCAGTTTAATGGAGGAAACATCAATACTCTTTTGTAACATCTATAGCAAAATGGAATAAATTAAATGTTCCCTTAGGGAATATAGTATAGTACGTATAATTATATATAAAATAGCTTTAAGTGAGGGAGAGATCATGAAAACATGCCTAGAGAGAGCAGAACTCATTAATCAAAACAGCAATGTAACATTTTGGCCTAATAAGATTTGAAGCATAGATGAATCAATAAAAGAATGCAGCAAAACTTTCCTCAATATTTTCTAGATATTGTTAATTTTTTTTCAGATGTTCTCAAAATGTCTTTGTCGTCCCTGTACATGTGTGCGCTACATTTGAGAGCATTTTTCAATCAATAAGGTTTCTAGTATTCTATTTATGGAAGCTGAATCTTGAAAATCACATACCTGTATTTGATCCTCAAGTGCTTACTAGCTAACTCATTTAGGGAACACAAGTTATGGATTGTGAATTAAGCTGAGTGATTTTCAGGAAACAGTGTGCTTTGACTTTTCAGTCCAGATTAAGAACCCTTAGTTGTCAAACACCAGCTAAACAGAAGAGAGCTGTGCTCTCATTACTAATACGTTGTAAACAAAACAAAACAAAAAATCCATCCAATTGTTACTAATTACTCGTTTAGCTCTACAAATGAATGACTCGAAGCAGATATAAGTACAATGATAGGGTACACAGTTCATTTCTAATTAATAAGACATTGTTGCGCCAGGGTGGAGGAAGGAGAAATTATTTTATACTATTTATACTATTTGCTGAAGGCCATTGGAGATTTATTTGAGATTCTTTCAAAGGCTACTTGTGTAAGTAAAGGAATTTTTCTTACGAAGTGAATCTTCATGCGTATCAACAAATAAGCGCATAAGGTATAGACATGGTTTCTTGTGTAAAAATTAGTTTTTGAGGTCTGTTTTCAGAGGCAATGCTTAACTTTTGTTTTGAGGAAGGGAGGAGTGAGATTGTATTAACTGTGCATACAGGCCTAAATTTGTGTTATTTTGCCACAGCTGGGGAATGTTATGCCAAAGGGAGCACTAGGAGTTACTGCACCCCAAAGAGACTCAGCTAACTTCCAGATTTGTGGGAAGATGTATTAGCAAGCCCTCTCCCCATCTCTCTCAAATATAGTGGTTTGGCATTTTGCACCATATCCCTGTCCTATTTTAAGGAAATTGTTCCTAGTAGGGTACTTATTGCCATGCTTGTTCAGTAGAAGCACTTTAATCTGGATTGGCACATGGCTGAGACACACAAGACAACTCTTGTTTAGCTGTCTCAGAAGGGTTGGGGAGTGCACGCAGTGAATTGTAGGAACATCAAACAACTTTGACTCCTCTTTGAGGTGATGGATATGTCCTGACTGATGTCCTATGTCTAAAGCGATGCTTTGGAAGAGCTGCTCACACAATTCTGTATAATTTTAGAATGGCAGCCCATCTGCCCTAAGCTTTACAAGCCAAAGTTATTATTTATCATCTGAAGCAGTCGCATCTAACAGGATCCTGCTTTTCTATTCAGCTGCATTTCCATGTCCTAAATTCTGTTTGGATTGTGGTGTTTTGTGTTGTCTTCTACCCTGCAATCAGACTAAGGGTAACTACTTTTTTAAGGGTATGTACTATGCAAGAGGCAAGCTGAGCAAATTTACTTCATTCTTCTCCCTCTATCCTTTAGCTCAGAATGACCATGAACAGATATTACAGGGAATAACAGAGTTCACGATGCTCACACTTGGTGGCATTTCTAAGACTGCCTATCAGGTATTTCCCTGTGGTGATAAAACCTTTGTATTGTGGCCAGAATTGTCCAATTAGTTCTGGACTAAAAACACCAATTCCATTTTAGGGCTCTCTACTAGCTGTCATGTGGTAATAACTCTTGGTATGTACTGACTAGGGTTACAATTCAGACTGTTGCCTTTAAAGTCAAAATTTTTGTGTACCCATTTTTGCAGCTGTCCAGATTCCTTCCATTTTTATTAAAGTTAGGTATAAATAATGTTGTCTGTTTTCACTATTATTCTTTTAATATTTTTTTTCACGTTATTTTATAGTATGGAAGAATGTGAAGCACTCTGCACACGGCTTGCTATTATGGTCAATGGAAGTTTCAAGTGTCTTGGTTCTCCCCAGCACATTAAAAACAGGTATTATATGTCAACATCAAACCTTCTGCAGCTACATTCAGTCTAAGAGCTGGCTAGACACTTTAATAGTGCCAAGGAATAAATACTTATGACTGCTAAGCGCATCTTTCTTTTCCTGCCATCACTGAAGTTAAAAAAGAGCCAATTAGGATATCTTAGCAAGCTAAATTGACATATGGGATTGCTAAAATGCTTTGTAGTCTGCACTGGTAATTGAAAGAGACAGATCTGTATCTAAAACGAAGCACTTCTGCACTCAACCTGAGAAATACGTTGTAAGAATTCAACATGTTGAGATGAAATACACTTTGGTTCCTTGTGAGGATTTCTTGTAACAGGAAGAAGCACTTTTAACAAGTCAGCAGCCCATAAGACAACATATTTTGAACCATCTCTGCTTCCTACTGAATTCACTGGCAGTTGCAGATATTTATGCTATGTTTTCTGTGTCCTTTTCCTGGTGTGCATGAGCCTCTCTTCTGCTTCAGCTCTGCTCACGAGTTAATTTAATATCTGTTAATGAGGATGTTTATTTAGAGGATGGGCTCAAACCACCATAAAGGAAACAGGATCAGAAGCCAAGGGGAAAGTTGCTGCAACTTACAGCTAAAACATTTACATTCAGTAATAAGTAGAATTTTTATGACACTCAGACAGTCAGCTGTGTAAAATGGTACAGCTCATTTACAAGCAGCAAAGCTACACTGCTTTGTACTAGCTCAGCATTTAGCACTTTTAAGTGCAGATACATTTGACAATGTAAACAAGCTCTACAGAAATGTTTTGGAATTGCTGTCTGCCATGGTTATAGGGCAGAAGTTATCTGTGTCTCAGATAATTTCTTGACCCTTGAGGGGCACTTCTGGCTTTCTGTCCTTCCCTTTGGGTAGAACTGTAGGCCCTTATTTTGCAGCTAAATTAGCATGATGGGCCTGATTCACATTTAGATTAATAAGCTCTCTCCTTCCAAGGTTTTTTTCATCAAGACAAACTTTAAGCTAGAGACCTTACAAACTGGATAGTGAAAAACCTGAGGTCTGCATCTATATTTCTGATTGTTCTGTGTGATCATAGCCTTCTTTTCATATTTGCATACCTTTCAGAGAGTAGTTGCCTCAGTTTCTAGAGGCATGAGAAGTCAATCGCTCTTCAGCAGTTTCTGCTTCTTTTGTATCTAGCTCTTTGTCTTTGCCATCCTGTCTCTTATTCCCAAATTTCGTAGCACAGAGTGGCCTGTTGTACCACGAGCTGGAGTACTTTAGCAGGAGTGCAGGCACCCTTTATTTCTTCTGTAATGAGAGAGATGTCTGTAGAGGACAATGCAGACCTTGTGCAGGCAAAACTGGTTTTTGAAAATGTGTGTGTCCCCTAATAGGAAAAAATGGTATTACTTAGGCACTTCAGTTGAGTGCATAAAGCTAGCTGGGATAAATGTGGGTCTCCCCTTTTTATGTTTCAGATCCTCTGGAGTGAGTGAGTGTCTGTCTTCTCAGCTTGACCTTGAGAGGGCAAAATCAGGCATTCCACAAAGGCTACCTTCATCTTTATCTTCTCAGTGACTTTGTCATTGTTTTACCACTTCTGATGTTTCCTTTAGCAGCATCTTTTCATCCACCTTCTTAGGAAGCAAGGCATCATAAGCATACTCATAAGTATGCACCATATTCATATAAATAGGACAGTTATTTCTCGATTTGTTGCACTGTCTCTGTAGATGTACGTCCTTCAGATCACAGTAAGCAAATCAATGCAGAAGAATAAACTATATGACACGCTGGAAGTATCTTCAAATTAATTCTGAGGATATCAGGACATTCACAGATCAGCCATTCAAAAATCAAGGCTGTATGAGCGCGTCTTTTAAATTCTGCAAGCA